TACATTGGGCTTCTGTGAATCGTGCATTGGTATACCTGTGTGGTGCATTGGTATACCTGTATCTGTGTTGTTACCTTCAGGTCTTTTGGTCATATACCTAAAGGTGGAACAAGTCCTTTCATCTATAATTTTTTTGTTTCTTGACATTAGTTCCAATCTCTTTCATGTAACAGCACCCTTCCCGCTTTATAGGGTTCCCCATTTCCATTTGCTGTTCTTTCTTGCCCCTTTCTGACCTCTGAACTTTGTTTTTAAGTAAGTGCTGCCCTTTTGTCTTGTATGGTTGATTATTATGACGAGAATGTTCCTTGTAAGTGTTGTTGTTCAGTGTATAGTCATGACTGTAAAATGGTCCCTAGGGATGGGTTCAGTTCCAGGTTTGAAGAGTGTCAGTGTTTGAGATTTCCTACCTATTTCTATAAGACTGGTTCTATTTCTGATTCTTGGTTTTGTTCCATATTTTTCTTCTACGCAATCTAAGAATTTCTGTGATCTCATTTAGAGTGTTTGATAGTAATAGCCGGTCGTAATCTAATGGTGCTAGTCTCAGGGTAGCGGGTGGAGGCTGTGGTTCACATGGTTCCCTAGTCCTTCGGACTAATTGTTTCCTTTAGTTTGGTGTTTGGTGTTAATTTTGGAAAAATTTCAGTCATAATGTCTTCAAATATTTCTTCTGCCCGTTTCTCTCTTTTTTATTTTGGGATTCTTATAATGCATAGGGTAGATTCTTTTATATATATATGTTCTTTAGCTCCTGGGTGTCTTATTACATTGCTGTTGGTGCATTTTATTTCTACTTTTCTCTGTGTGCTTCGGTTTAGATACTTTCTGCTGACCTGTGGTCTAGTTCATTGATTCTTTCTCTGGCTCTGTCAAGTTTACGGAGTTTGTCAGAGGCATGCTTCGTCGCTTAGAGTTTTTCTCTTAGTATTTCTGTTGGATTATTTCTTCTAAGTCCCATCTCTGCAGTACTTTCTAGTACTCATTTTTATCTTTTCATTTCCCAGATAATTAGCCATATACAGCAAGATTGGGATTAGATTATTTTTTCTTATGACTGGTATATCTTAGATTTGGAAACGTTTATTTTGACCCAGTAAGCACCAAGGCTTGCTCCCAAATAGGAGGACCTAAGAAGTGCAAGCAGAGCCGCTTGACCTGAAGCTGAAAGGAGAGAGAGAGCCACAGAGCAATACTGTTGAGGAATATATCCATATAACGAATGGACTTGCTCAGGGTCAGTGGTCATCTGAATGTTTTTCCCTTTCTTCCTTATACACATCACCAAACCATTAAAGTAACCATTATTTTATTGTTGTTCAGTGGGTAACCTGCAGTGGTCCTTTCAGCCTCAGTGAAATAACGTGGATTACGTTTATCTACCTCGTGTTCTTGAATGATTCATGAGTCTTGGATTGTGGCATCTTAGAATTGTTAAGCTTATTGAACCTCATAAGTGCCTGATTTTGTCCATTCTAAAACAGAAAACTTACTGAATCCTTCATCTCATACATGCATTTTTATTAATTTATTTGGTTTTCATCGAGTTTGTAAGCCTGCCATTTCAGAGTTATTATATTCGACATAGTGAGAATGAGAGTGATGAGTAAGATGTCTTTTCCTTTAGAAACTTGGAAGATCCCCTTGCAGAGGGGTCTTGGGGAGGTGACGAGCCAGTCAGGGTGCGATGTAACAACGATGAAAAATATAACTTTCCTCTAGTTCCTAAATGCTTCCTCCCCACCCCCACTATCATGATACGAATTCTACCTTGCAAGTCTGGCTAGACAAGAGGATATACACTGGTACAGATAGGAACTGGAAACACAGGGAATCCAGGGCAGATGATCCCATCAGGACCAGTGGTGTGAGTGGCGATACTGGGAGGGTAGAGGGAGAGTGGGTTGGAAAGAGGGAACCGATTACAAGGAACTATATGTGACCTCCTCCCTGGGGGACGGACAACCGAAAAGTGGGTGAAGGGAGACGTCGGACAGGGCAAGATATGACAAAATAATAATTTATAAATTATCAGGGGCTCATGAGGGAGCGGGGAGTGGGAAGGAAGGGGAAAAATGAAGACCTAATGCCAGGGGCTTAAGTGGAGAGGAAATGTTTTGAGAATGATGAGGGCAGTGAATGTACAAATGCACTTTACACAATTCATGTGTGCATGGATTGTGATAAGAGTTGTATGAGCCCCTAATAAAACGATTAAAAAAAGAAGACGAAGAAACCTGGAAGATTACTGCTCAGCCTAACACCAGAGAGCGGTCTCACTGCCCTCTAGGCCATTCTGGCTCTCGGAGGCCCTGCAGGGCAGAGTAGAACTGCCTCTGTGGGTTTCCAAGACTGTAACTCTACGGGAGTAGAAAGCCTCCTTTCTCTCTTGGGAGAGGGAGCTTAGTACTGTGCACAGGGCTATGGCACACAGAGGTGTGGTGGTTCCTTCCCGATGGGGAAATCAGCATGTGGTTTGTGCCGAGTGGTAGCATTTTACCTGGGTTTTACAGAATGACTACAGTCTTGACAGACAGGTGGGTGGGCATTCTAATCTACATAAATAACTTACACAACTACACTTATTTGTGGTCTATTGGTAAACAGTTTACACTCAATCTTAGTACTTCCTCTTATACACTTCCACTACAAAACTTCCTTTTTGTTGTCCCTTTCCTCTTTTTGGCCATTTTCACCTTCTTTGTTTTCTGTAGTTCTGCTGATGCTGTCAGATAAGTGCTGGACTAATAACTGCAGGGTTAGGGACTGGAACCCACCAGCCATCCCATGGGAGAAAGATGAAGCTGTCGGCTCCCATAGAGATGAATAGCCTCGGATACCTATATAGCCTTGCTATGAGTTGGAATTGACTTAATGGCGGTGGGTTTGGGGCACTGGGTTATTTTTCTGTAGTTTTTAGTGGTAGATCCTGCTGCACTAGATCAGGATCCAGAGATCCTTCACCTGGATAAGCCTCCAAGTGGAAGTACAGGGTCATAGTTTTCTATGCAGCCTGTGTTTAAGAGTACATTCTATGACTAGTCAAGCAAATCTGTTCATGGGGCAAAGGATTCCATACTAGAATACAACGGACCAGACCAAGACCAGCAGAACTTAGACACGTGCTTCCATCAGCCTGCCTCGTGTTCTAGAGATGTGTTACATCTCAGCACTATCTTACTAACTTCCATCAGCCTGCCTTGTGTTCTAGAGATGTGTTACATCTCAGCACTATCTTACTAACTTCCATCAGCCTGCCTCGTGTTCTAGAGATGTGTTACATCTCAGCACTATCTTACTAACTTCTCTCCCTTTTCTTACAAAGCAGGAGAGTGCTCTTGAAAATCCCAATGCATTCGGCCCTAGTTTATCATGTGGCCAACACCATTTCTCGCTCCCCCGTCCTCACTTCTTTTCTGTATTCTCAAAAGCTAGTGTTCTTTAAAGATGCATTAAAAGAAAGAACGAAAGAACAAAACAAAGGCCTGTCTTCTTGCTTTAGGGACTGGCAGCTAGGTTTGAGACTTAATATACTCATCCCCAAACTGAGCTCCTTTTTTAACTTTCATGAATCATGACTAGGGCTGTTAGGCTGTGTGGGCACGAAGGGTGACTGTGCCAACTAACATGATCTGTTTTCTCTGGGGTAGGAAGCTGAAGCACCCGTCTCCAGAAATGTCCTCGGAGCGTAAGGAACAGCATGGCCTTTCACCTGGGGACTCATCAGAAGAAGAAAGTGAGCAGTACAGTCCTCAGCCCAGCGTCTGCCTGGAGCTTCAAAAAGAACCAAGTACTGACTTCAAGCCATTTCGGGCCATGGATCAATGCAGACCTCATTCTAGGGTCCATGTGGAGCCTCAAGAGAAACCAAATTCTGACTTCAAGCAGTTTATCATCAAAAAGCTACAGAAGAAATGCCAGTGCAGCCCATCCAAAGCAAAAAACATGATTTTTGGTTTCCTTCCTGTTTTGCACTGGCTTCCAAAGTATGATCTGAAGAAAAACATTTTAGGAGATATAATGTCTGGCTTGATTGTAGGCATCTTGTTAGTGCCCCAGTCCATTGCGTATTCCCTCTTGGCTGGCCAGGAGCCCATCTCCGGTCTGTACACATCCTTTTTTGCCAGCATCATTTATTTCCTATTAGGTACCTCTCGGCACATTTCTGTGGGCATTTTTGGAATATTGTGCCTTATGATTGGCGAGGTAGTTGACCGAGAACTACACAAAGCTGGCTATGACACTGGCCATGTTACTTCTTCTCTAGGAAACGGGAGCACATCATTAAACCACGTGTTACCTGGGTCATGTGATAGAAATTGCTATGCAATTATAGTGGGCAGCACTGTAACCTTTATGGCTGGGGTTTATCAGGTAAGAAACAAGGGAACAAGTGTTTGTTTCTGGTGAAAGTAATTGCTGTGCATGAAATCTCAGAGCTATAAAGAATCTTAGAGATCATAACCATTAATTTTTTATTGAATACTTGAGTATGTGAGACGGGGACCCAGAACTCAAACTCTGGTCTGACTGACTCCGTAAGTAAAATAAGACTCTGTTTTCTCAATCCCAGGCTACCTCCTAACCAATGAATTTCAGTAAGCCAGATCTGTTAAGTGGTTGTAGAAATTTAGAGAGGAGACCCCAACCACCTAGTACAACTCTTTAATTTTACACATCAAAAAACGGGGTTTGTGTGAGACCGTGTGATTGTACTGTCAGTCAGCATTAGTCATCAGACAGGATAACTGAATGGAGAGCTGGCGGAGGGGCTGGGAATGCAGGATTTTTGCACTAGGCATCCTCTCCCCGCTGCTTTAGAATTGTCGTGAAGTGATTCCTCTGATCATGGTTCTAAAACGTCCAAGAGAAGGCATCAGAGAAGTAATTCTCAGATCTCACTGGATCCCGCCGCTGCCATCATGATAGCTCAGTGCGCTGCCTCTGGGCGCTGCTGCCAGCCTCCGAGCGCTTCTCTGCCATCGGCATTGGAACCAGTAAGGGCAGGGCAAGAGTAGCTAACCCCGTGTGGTGCTTGGATGATCAAGAGAGAGAGAGAGAGGGAGGGAGGGAGGGAGGTGCACACGCGTTGCGGGCCTCAGAATTGACTTTGGCATTGTCATTACGGTGGCTCACCAAGAATGAGGAGAGGAGCAACAGGATTCTGAGGGATGACTGGGAAGGGAGGAAAGTTAGATATTCAGGATATAAAATGGTCAATATTGGAAAGCTTGCTGGGCCTAAATACTGAATGAGAATATTTGCTTAAAATGAAGTTAGAGTGCTGTATTAATTTTTAGAATGTGGTTCTCTTTTGACGCAAATCTAATTTTAGTTTTACCAGTTAAATGACCTGTAATTAAAGAAAACGTATGCTTTATTATTGGGAAGAATTTGAGTTTCTAGATGTTTTCTCATAGATCCTTGGGGATTGCTTCCTTTTTAGGGGTCCCTTTAGCCCTGGCCTCGGGGTGTGACAGTGTGGTTACAACAGGCATAGGAACAATTGTGGGGATGCCAGGACCGTGCAGTGTTCTGTTGTGTGTAAGGTTGCTGTGGGTAGGAACCAGCTCTATGGCACCTAGCAACAACAGAAGTGTGAAGGACTGTCTCCAGGAAACCTTTCTGAGCCTGAACCTGGGCTTGCTGGGCAGGAAACTATTGAGAGAGGAAGGCCCAGGGCAGAGTACTGAGCCTTTTCCCAACTCCGGGGCCACTCTGTGCTGAGGAGCTGTGTTTGCCATGGGTGCCTGTGTGCCTGTGCACCTGTGAGCTCCGTGAGCTATGGAATGAGATAGTCTTTTCCAAGAGAGAGGCGGATCCTTCTGAAAGAAACATTGTGCTAGACAGTAGGACTCTTAGGCTTGTGTCTCAGCTGGGCCAGTGAAGAACAGTGTTAACTCTGGGCAAATTGTTTAAGCCTCTGAGACTCAGTTTCCTCTCTTTGTAAAATGAGAGGACTGATTGTCTTTTTTCTAACTTAAACATTCCGTTGGTGCTCTGATAGTGTCTCTGTGCAAAGAATGTCAGGTTAATTTTTGGTGTGGAACCGCAGTTTAGCTTCATTTTAACACTTGCATGTCCTTTCTTCTAGGTAGTGATGGGCTTCTTTCAAGTGGGCTTTGTTTCTGTGTACCTCTCAGATGCCTTGCTGAGTGGATTTGTCACTGGTGCCTCCTTCACCATTCTTACATCTCAGGCCAAGTACCTCCTGGGGCTCAGCCTTCCTCGGAGTAGTGGTGTGGGCTCACTCGTCACCACCTGGGTGCATATCTTCAGAAACATCCATAAGACCAACATCTGTGACCTCATCACCAGCCTTTTGTGCCTTTTGGTGCTTTTGCCAACCAAAGAACTCAACGAGCGCTTCAAGTCCAAGCTGAAGGTGCCGATTCCTACGGAACTCTTTGTAGTTGTAGCAGCCACATTAGCCTCTCACTTTGGAAAGCTGCATGAAAAGTACAACTCCAGTGTTGCTGGCTGTATTCCCACCGGATTCAAACCACCCAAAGCACCAGACTGGAACTTAATCCCTAGTGTGGCTGTAGATGCAATCGCTATTTCTATCATTGGTTTTGCTATCACAGTATCGCTTTCTGAGATGTTTGCCAAGAAACACGGCTACACCGTCAGAGCAAATCAGGAAATGTATGCCATTGGCTTTTGCAATATCATCCCTTCCTTTTTCCACTGCTTCACTACCAGCGCAGCTCTGGCGAAGACGTTAGTCAAAGAGTCCACGGGCTGCCAAACCCAGCTGTCAAGTGTGGTGACCGCCCTGGTTCTTTTGTTGGTCCTCCTGGTAATAGCCCCTTTGTTCTATTCCCTTCAAAAATGTGTCCTTGGCGTGATCACGATTGTCAATCTGCGCGGAGCCCTGCTTAAATTTAAGGACCTGCCCCAGATGTGGCGACTTAGCAAGATGGACACGCTCATCTGGTTTGTGACTATGCTGTCCTCTGCCCTGATAAGTACGGAAATGGGCCTGCTTATTGGGGTTTGTTTCTCCATGTTTTGTGTCATTCTCCGCACCCAGAAGCCAAAGAGCTCCTTGCTTGGCCTGGTAGAAGACTCTGAAGTCTTTGAATCCACGTCTACTTACCAGAACCTTCAGACTATGCCAGGAATCAAAGTTTTTCGCTTTGTAGCCCCTCTCTATTACATAAACAAAGAATGTTTTAAATCTGCTTTATACAAAAAAACTCTCAACCCAGTCTTAGTTAAGGCAGCTCAGAAGAAGGCAGCCAAGAGAAGGGTCAAAGAGGAGACAGTGACTCTGAGTGGAACCCGGGATGAAGTTTCAGCCCATCTTTCCTGCGGCCCCCTGGAGCTCCACACGATCGTGATCGACTGCAGTGCGATACAGTTTCTCGATACAGCAGGGATCCACACACTGAAAGAAGTTCGCAGAGATTATGAAGCCGTCGGTGTGCACATTCTGCTGGCGCAATGCAACCCTTCTGTCAGGGACTCCCTGACCAGGGGAGAGTACCACAAAAAGGAGGAGGAAAACCTCCTCTTCTACAGTGTGTATGACGCAATGGTTTTTGCCATGGAATCTCAAAATCAGAAAGGAACAGGTGTTCCCAATGGTCTGGAGTCTTTCCAGTGATCGATTGAGAAAGTAGATGCTATGGGTCTAGTCAATGGGTTAAAATAGCCACTTCCACAGTGGAAAATGTTTCACACTTAAATTGAAACCCATTAGCTACACATCAATCTTCATTTGAAGCTATTGGGCTTTAGATCTCTAGAGATACAGCAGAGCTTATAGTTAGAATCAAAGAGAAAATATTTTGGTTTCAGGCTTTACCGAAGAAATATTTTTATTGGCAGATGCTGTTGTGTCGGCTTCGACTCAGCGACCATACGTGCAACCGAAAGGCACTGCCTGGTTCTGCGCCATTCTCGCCGTTGTCCTACGCTCGGGTCCACTGTTGCAGCCACTGGGTCCATCTCTGTCATTGTGGCCTGCCTTATTTTGGGCTGACCCTGCCCTGGTGGCAGAGTGGCTATGCTTTGGGCTGCTAACCACAGGGTAAGCAGTTTGAAACCACCAGCTGCTCCCTGGGAGGAGGAGGGAAAGGCTTTCTACTTCCATAAACAGTTACAGTCTTAGAAATCCACAGGGGCAGTAAAATGAAATCAGCGTTATCTCTGTTTATCATGACATCTAGTTGAAGAAAAAATTCGAGCCTCTATTCACTACAGTAAAGGACTCTATGGGAAAAATACTCAATGATGCAGGAAGTATCAAAAGATGATAGAAGGAATAGAGCCGCTACCGAAAAGAGACATCAGTGTTTGACCATTTCGGTTGAACATACGCCATATGATGAAGAAATAAGGTATTCTCGGAATACAGTGCCTATTGAATTAAACTGCCAACTCGTTCCAATAAACCATCCTGTTTTTTGTTTTTTTTTTTAAACTGTCCTGTTATAGAGGGTATGCATTTGAATTCTCCCTTCTCTTAGAGGTCCAGGAGTGAACTTGAGATTTACAATAGAAGTGCCAGAGTCCCTAAGAGCTCTGTGGAGAGGTGGCTGCAGGAGGTGGGGAGCATAGTTGGGCAACTTGTTCTTGCTTGTGCTCATTTTCCCAGTTGTAGCTCCCCGCATAGCAGGAAGATTGCTGGCTCCTGGGAGGCACTCATCACTGCAGTCTTCAAAGCAAAGTGCTGTGGCACAATCACATCAGGAATGGTGATGCTGGGCAAGGTCATGCCATCTGGGCAGCCATTGTGCCGTTGTGCACCACACCCCTTGTGATCCAGGGCCGGACACTGACTCAGCAGTTCTCTCCGTCATTTTAAATGAGCTCAAGGAAAACTGTCCAGGATGGATAGCAAAAAGGAGTGACGGACAGTTTCCTTTCGGAGTTGGCTTACTAAGTAACCCATCCGCCCCCAGGGCTTTTCAGCAAGCATCCATTGCAGATTAGGTCATCTCAAATAAAAGCTGTTGCTCATCTTCAGTCTGCAAGAAAAAGTCACTGTAACCCATGGAAAGGGACGTATGATATGGCAGGTATCTCCAAAAGGACACTGATGACTAGTTTGTGGCTTTTGTAGTGAAAGCAAGGCTGATTTTTACTGCAGTGCCCCTTATTGGTGTAAAATAATATATGGTGTATAATAAATGACCGTGACACCTTTTAAGTCTTGAAGCCATTATGGAAGAGGATATAGAAGCACCACACATTTATAAAACCCAAGGTGTATGAACTCCATGGGTGTGTTTATCGTAGCTGACATTAGTTATGAATTAAGGAGTAATTTGCTTTGAAACACGTGTTTGACATTGAAAGCTTATAGTTAAAATTTCGGTATGTGAACCTTGACAGGGGAGGAAAGTCATCCAAGTCAGGAAGAAGGACTGATTTATGTGAGGCGGAGACATTTAGCCATGCTAAGCAATAATTGCAAAAGGGCAAAATCATTTTTAAACTGCTCTACATTTAAATTATTTTAAATATTTATGATGCAAACCCGATCTGTAGAGAATCTATAGTAGAGTGGGACACACACACACACACACACACACACACACAGGAGAGAACCAGAAAGTGTGTAAAAAGTGGAAAGAGAAGACGATGGAATTTTCCGTGGCCTTTGTGAAGCTGCCTTGTGCACCTACCTTTAGCGCTCTTGCCAGTTCCACACATTGTTGCTTTGCTTTTGGCAGAACATGGCCCACCCAACTCTACATGGAATAAAGACTGCTCCTTCACCCTTTCACAGCAAGGCAAGTTCCAGCCGAAATCCTGGGTTTCTGTCTTTGAAGTGATTGGAAGAGTGCTTTTCCGTTCTTTGAGACCTTAGTCTAGAAGTGCAGAAATGCCAACTGCTACTGTTTGCATGTAGACCTTTTTGGTTTGTTTTTATGTAGTATTTGCTCTTCCTTGCCTTATGACAGGTCACATCACACCATCTTGTTTGTGCTTTTGTCTTAATTTCCCTTGTCCTTCCCTACGCCAGGTTTGCATTGAGACTATTAGAGATGTCTGAGGTCCTGTGACAAAGGTAATGCTTACAGATTTAAGACGCCTCTAATGTGGCAAACACCAGCACACACAGCAACAACAACAAACTCGGTAAACCCATTAGAAGGATGGAGTAATAGGATTTGACCTTTACTTGATATTTCTGTACTTAATATGGATATAAACAATTGTAGAGCTTTCTGCAGTTAGCAAATTCTTGAACTGTGTTCTGGTTTGTATCTCCCCCACCAAAACAAACAAGAGATTCTGCTTTTAGTAATTCATTAATAGCCATTTGTAAAAAACACATATGATCACACTATAATTTACATTCCACCCATGCTTTGGTTAAGACCTGCCAATATTGCCTGCTGTTGAAATTTTTTGGTTGCAGCATTTAGAAGAATCAATTCAGTGCTGAAGCCAAAGTCTAATTCACCAACTAAAACAAATATTTCCATTTTCTTTCTTGCCCAAGGGCTTGAACTTCAATTCATTAAGTGATGTTTGTGCACTAAACTGTTAAAAAGTGTATTTTACTAACTCTGAACTTTAGGTCCCAATGAAGCATTTTCTCATTCCTTATTAGCAAGTACACGAATGCTGAATGTGCTTGAGGTAGTTAGTTTATTGTGCCAACCTGGCTGATAAACGCATGTGGGGTTAATTGAAGGGCGGATGGATACATGGCCCGGTGAGCCTCGCCTTTGGAGTTCTCGGGTCTCTTGCTTTGTGATGGTCGGACCAGGGCGCAGCTGCAGTAGGCAGTTCCCTGCTTCAGCTAGCAAGGCTGACTTCCCATGAGACATCCCCAAGGAGAAGCCGCATGGATCTACCCTGATGCAGCCCTGGGTGCTGGAGC